ATATAGATAGATATATACATATATATAATTAATTATGTATATACTTATATGTATATATCTCTATATATAGTCTCATAAATGTTTAAGTTCCTCTGTCCAACTGGTGCAAATCTACTGTGCAAGTTAAGCTTTGCAACTTCAAAAAAGTTATTTAAATTAATCTATACAATTGAGTCCATGCCACACAAGCATTTCAAAAAACTCACAGACCAGTGAATTGGATAAATAGCCTCAGAAAGAAGTCCTCTGCAGTTCCTGCTTAAGGAGGAAAAAAAAAAAAAAAAAAATAAAAAGAAAAAAAAGAGAGAAAGAAGGGCCAGAAGTGTACAGTACATTCATGCAGGAGGAATTTTTTTTTTTGTTTTTGTTTTTCTGAAAGGGAACAAGGGGGGGTATGTAAATCAGCCATTCATTCTTTCCCCAAAACCATTGTGATCAACAATTCATTCACTTGTCTCAGAGTGAATAAGAGTTCAAACAGCTTTTCAGCCAGCAGTGTTTTTAATATATATATTTATATATTTCGGTTGCTGTGGGTTTTTTTATTTTACTTTATTTTAATTTTTTTTTTGCAGTGACCTTTTCAGCTAAAGTGATGTCTCCAGGCTATGTATTGGGCTTCCTGGACTAGAAGAGGTAGCTGATTTACTTGTATCAGTTGTAAGATTTATTCCACTGTCGATAGCACTGTTGTTCTTGTTCAGTGAAGACGGTGGACTCGAGTTTTTCTTGAGAGCAGGGTCTTCTTCTAGGTCTGTGTCATCAATGAGTGGGATGTGGGGCTGGGAGTCTTCTATCCTAAATTCAGGATGAGTCATAAAGTTGTGAATAGAGGTTCTAGATTCTGGTTTTTCTAAACCTTCATAGAGAGAGCTACGGAATGCCTTCACGACGCGGATCTGGGGGGAGAAAAGGAAAGAGGTGTCAGAGCTGGCACCTTCAAAGGGCAACACTGTTAGAGAATACTTTGTGAAAAATGTAGCATATGGTTAGGGCAGTGCAGGCAGCTGAAGTCCATAGTCTCTGGATGTTATATGCATAAACGAGTGGCTCAGTTATGTGCATTTTGAATATCTGTATCAACTGCAATATTAAAATAAATCAAGTTTAAAGCCATCAAAGAACTGATGGGAAGTACTGGTTAAAGAAAGCGAACGTCCACTCGTGTGGTACATCCCTAGTAAAAGACAAGCCATGTTAATTGTAATGCAAATGTAAAACCATGCATATTGATAGTTTTGCAGTGAGTAAGTAGGAAGGCTTTTTTAATTAAAAAAGTCTCTTTTGTATTGTTAAAAAACCATTACACATAACATATCACACTTCACAAACAGAAAAGCACAGAACACAGACACAGTTGGATGGGTACGTATGAGACACACAGGAGCCAAGTGTAAAAACTATAAGTAATATCAATGTTTTAAAGCAAAATCTAAATGAATGCAGCCAAGAGCACAAAAAAGCCAAGCAGACAAAGTACTAAGCATAATCATGCTACCAGAGGGGGGAAAAAAAGAAAAAAAATCACAGTTTCCACACAAACAGAGAGAACTTGCACACAACAACTACACTTGGAAGCCTGGATAATGTGAACATAGTATTGTTGAACCAACTTTTATTTTTCCTTCATGCATATGTGAGGTAAACACTCGAGTATAGACCCACTGTTCTAGCCATTTAACTTTTTAATATATATAAAACATGTAATAAAATAATGTATTGATTGTTGGGTTGAATTGAATTACATTTTTAAACAGCAAGCTCTTTCATTTTCTGTGTCTCAGTTGTAAAACTGTAAAGTTAAATGCTGAAAGCGACACAATTTATGCCATATATGCAGTCTTTAAACTAGGTCAGCTGACTTATGCCAGGGCTTATCTAATGTTATTAACCCTTTATGCCAGGATCAATCTAATGTCATTAACTACCTGACAGTAAGAACACAGGTGAAAATGAGCCAGAAGCCTGTCAGGGACAGTGCAAATTGCTTTCCTAGTAGGAAATGAGAGGAACAGAGTGAGGAGCATTGCAGAGTGGGGACACTAAGTCCTCTGTGGGTGGGCAAGTGAAGGTTTGTGCTGGTTTACTGCTGAAAAAAACATAACTTTTTGGAAGGGGGGGTGGGAGGGGCAGAGAGGAAAAAACAGAATGGCAAAATGTGATCTGTTGGCAAATGTTTTATGACTAAGTATGAGTTCTATCCTTCTACTTCCATGTAGTCCCATGAGCAAATTTTGAGCAATTCTTAGAGAGGAGACCAAAACACAGGCAGAGGCAGAAAAGGTGCAAGCAGGGATTGTGAAAGCTCCTGCACACACATTTGAAATGGTTTGGTGGTTGGTATGTGTATCTTTTTACATGTAAATATGCTGCACATTATTGGTTGGCCTAATACACCACTAATTTGTCAAGCTTTAATTCCTCTTTTAATTTCCAGACTACATTTTAGTAGTGGCATGGGGGTAACAGCATTACAGCTGTGGGATCTAGCTGATCCTGTGCTTGGCGTTATCCAAGTTGTACAGAATTTCAGCACATTTAGAGAAAGAGGCTGACTAGTATTTTGATCTTTGACCTCTGTCTTGTTTATGTTCTCCACATTTGGATATTCATCAAATATTTCAAAATATTTCTGCTACTAGGATTTCAAAAATCCTAGTAGCAGAATTAAGTCATGCCATCTTCAGATACATGGCCTTCAAGAAGTCCAAATACTCTCTCTTTTATATTTGATAACAGCAGGGCACAGTACAAAAAGTGGTTCATGTGACTGCTTATGTTCAAAATAAGAGGACTGGGGTGGTAGAGAACAGCTTGTCCAGATTTTAGAAGGTTTTAGGAAGTTGGCAGAGGTGCAAGACAAGAATAAGAAAGGAAGAATAAATTTTACACACTACAATCACATAGGGTACCTAACACCTCTATGACAGAGCACATGCCATTATAAACCAGGGTTTAATGGGAGCTGAATATCTTGAATAGTGCTGTGCTATGTGATGGTTCTGTATAGTGAACAAACAGACTGAGATAAGAGATTCATTTGCATTACTAAAGATAGGATTTGAACTCATGGAGAAGAGGTGACAATTAATTCCCTCATTATCTATGCCTTGATATTTTGTATTTATATTTTATATTTTAAAGTGCAAAGAAATTAGTCTGAACAATGAAAAAACAGTATGTTTTGTCAAGGCAATCTTAAAAACATGTTACTATATTGTCCTATTTTACATCAGGAAACTTTTTGTAACATGCTTACTTTATAGTATGGGTGGATATGGTGACATTTTCTGCAAAGCTACCTATTATTTCTGCTGTCTAAATAAAAATAACAGTCACCTCATTCAGTTGCAGCTGTTTGCTGCATCTTATCAACTAACAAAATAATTTCATTCTTTTGAATACAGCCACTTCTTATTGCATACATTTAGGTTCTATTTGCCAGCTAGATTTTTTTTAATAAAGGTAAATAAAAAGGGTTGCAATTTGATACTATGCTTGAACAGATCCAGCAGAATCCAATGAAAGTAAAACTTTTCAAGTCACACAAATTGTATTTAAGCTTCTGCAGGTTAGCAAAGGAGGAACGGATTTCAATTTATGAGGCTCCAAGTTCCGTAGTGGGGAAAACATCTATATTGCATTTAATAACAAAAGTTGGCATCTAATTTGCATTTAATATCAAGTTTTTAGTCAATCTAGCTAGCTGACTAACATCTCACACTTTAGGTTGTATTTGAAAGCCAGTTATGAAAACTTGCCTGCCATGACCTGACTTTGGTGCTGTATTTGATCCATGGAAAGAAAACCCTACGCTAACATCTCTTGTTTAGATGTGTTTGCACAACAATCTGAAGATATACTTGCAGAATGTACGATCAGCCAGCAGTCGTATCACTTTGTGTGAAGATCTGTGGCAAAGTTTTGGCATGGACTGTTTGAGTTTTACAGGAGCTTTTTTAGATGTTACTAGAATAGCTTCTATTTCTTCATAGTGAGTTTTATTGGAAATATTAGCTTAGAACTAGTTCGGAGCTGCTGAGACCTAAAACAGTTAAACTTCGGAATGCAATGGCAATGTAAGGGCCAAACTGTGGCAAATCCCTGAAGCTGAGAATATGTAACGTTAGCTTTCCAATAAGTTTTCTTCACTAAGTAGCTGTAGAAAACTACCATCTTTTATTAAAATTTATCTACAGTTTCAGAGTTGTATATATCTTTTCCATTAATTTTTCACTTAAGGAGAAGCTCTCTCCCCAATTTTAAATTTTGCATATTTAGCTTGGCATCCAGAAAAAAAAATACTATTTTTTAGTGTCACACCTCATTCAGTGACAGAATTTCTGCATTACAATATAATTAAAAATCTTGTTCATAGTCTGTCCCCCAATGCATCAAATTATTGCTTACAGGAACAAAACTTGCTTCTTTCATTATGTTAGTGGAAACAAAGATAGAGGGTTTGTTGGATACAAAGGTGGCATTTTAATTTATATATAATACTACTACTACTGTATTTAAGCTAAGAACTGAAAAAATGTTATTTACGCAGATTTAGATGGCCCAACAGCAACAAATTCTTTTAATACATGCTTAAGTTCAAGATTTGAAGTAACATCTGGTGTAAAAATGTTTAGGGGCTCTGCTGAAACAAAGCCCACATTACTTTTTTGAAGATAAAATAAAGTGGATGAACTTTGTATAATGTTGTTATGGCTGTACAGCATGTAAAAGCAGGGACATACCCACGATGGATAGAACCTAGAAAGTGTTGGTTTATTATGAACTATGTCGAGTTCATGTAATGATATTTTTTTATGATACTGACAATGCCAAGGGAAGACAAACAGTGTGATACAGCTCCCTTTTCTCACAGTAATGGAGACAACAGAAAAAAAATGAACTGCTTTTAAACAAAAGACTGTGGGGACAACACTTCAGGACATTTTTGACATTGCTATAAGTTTCCACTTCTTTCTTCTCTGTAGCTGTAATAGAAAAAACTCTTCAGTTGCATCCCACCTTGAAAGTTAGATTTATTATACTGCATCAGGCAAGAAAAATAAAAGAAATAGAATTTTAGATACTACAATTTTTTCCCATCAGAAGAAAAAGATGAAGTTCAGAATCTCACTCCTAAGTACAACAATCTAGGTAAACTACACAAGGCCTGTTAAGCATCAACAGATGTATTATGGTTGGTAGTGTGTGGGCTTATACTCGAATGTTTACCTGGCTTCATATAAGCCAAGTATCTTGAGTTTGGTTCACATTCATTTCAGGCTCAAGGTTAAAGACTCACAACCTCTTTTTATTTCACTCTCTCCT